GTAATCAGTTAGTATACAAAATACGATGACTGTAGCTATCAGAACAGCTTCCACAGAGCGTCATGATGTAGTCGGCAGTAATTTTTTGCTAATCACATTGCTTTCTAGTCATAGATGCAGAATGTGATAATAATAGTATTTGCCAGACGGGTATATACAACATTTGTAATCTCTGATGCGCCAGACGCTTTGATATACGTCTATGTTTGTTCTTGCTATCATATGGCTAATTTAACTTATCTTGTTGGACATGAATGCTTCTATTTTGTATAGGTGCTGGGTTGAACAGAATTAAAATGCATTTTTCGCCAGTGTAGCGAGGACTGCTTCTGGAACGAATAATATAGTGTAAGTGCCTTGAAATCACAACCAAGCTGATGGTGGTGAGTTTTTGATGATGGATAATAGCGTACCCCTGCAGTAACAGACCAAGTTCCGCTGCAAAATATGAATTCTGAAGCAAGAAAATGTTCAGAAGGAGAAGCGATCAAGACAACTCCGCGTATCAAAGTAGATGTGAAATTAATGAGTTCGAAACGGAGCTTCATGTTTGAGATGTCGAAAATGAGATGATTGTTATGGACGGAAGGATTTTAACATTTTTGATATATTGAAGCCTGTTTTGGGCTGTTAACCAGACCACCACTTAGGGCGGAGCCACCTTGGCCGCTTCTACTTTCTAGAGCGATATTTGGAACTCATCTTTTAGGGACCTAAGCTGTTTAGTAGGGGCTGCGTTATTATACAACATCAAGATCTCGCCATCCTCAGTTTGGGTAGACGATGCCTTCAGATGAGCGCTCAAATAATAAGTCACTTATATGAGCCCAAACAGCACCATCTACCCAGCTTGCGCATGAATCTTGCCCCGAGTTTATTTTTATCAATAATTGTAATTATCTTTGTAAGCGTCCTGTTATTTCACATTCTGCTTGGAAGCAGAATCTGCACTGGTAATCTTCTGAAGCATGGATTGCTGTTATTTTCACTTGCAAATGAATGAGCTTTGGAAGTGCACTCATCTGGCATTTCTTCAAAAAAGAAAAAAAAAGAACCTCGTGTACTTCTAACCATTGCAGAGTTTGCCAACAGAAAGCTGGCTAGCGCCTAAAAAACAACTGACCAGCTGCGGAGATATTGATTTTACATTCAAAGTTAGGGAATCAGTTGTATTCGGGAGTCAGCCTATGAAATTGTACGAACGATCATACAGAAAAGATAGTCCTTTATGTTCATGACACCGATAATGAGAACGTGATACGTGTTGTTGTAAAAGTGACAGTATAATAGGTTCTAAGAGATCTTATCACCAGACTTGTCTATAGTGGAGATGCAGTAAGTGGAATAATTCTCTAATAGCCGGCAATTGTTAATTTTAACATGCGAGTAATTACAAAAATTCATATCGTGGTGACAAAAAGGCAAGAAACTCCTGAGTTATGATGACAGAAATGAAAATCATTTACTGCGATGATTATAGCGAAACTGTTGTATTCACAGGTACTGTACAGAGATCTATAACTCGTAAAAAACGGGATCCAACTTCTTTCCAGCATTGACGCTATCAGTGATCCAGCTCTCTTTCACAAAATCGCAGTTCAAATCGAAACGATCTCGAAACTCCTCAAATTTCCTTGTATCG